GCTGAGACAAAAATGTGTGAGCCGGAGGCTAAAAAAACTGTGAGCTGGCTCACACTAACTCAGCTTAGAGGAAACACTGCTTAAGAGTACGTCCCTTTCAACACGGGAGCAGCTCGTCCAATGGGGGAGGGGATCCCTTGACACCCTTTAGAGCTACGTTTATCTCAACAATATTTATCAGAATCTCCCCCACACTCTGGAAGAGTTTTTTTCTGGAGGGGGGAGGAGCACACAAGGCGTTCTCCTCCCATTCTTTACCTCCCAAAGTCATATGAAGACTTTGTAATCTTCAATATGCACCTTCGTTTGCGGGGGGGGGGGCTTCAAATTGTGACACCCCCCGGATCGTATCCACCGCCCACAAATATATTCCACCAGCCACACACAAAAATTCAGTCCGAAATGCACGTTTCTCATGTGGCTATTCCACCCCGCCCCACCTGAGCATAAATACCTCTCGGAAGGGTAGAGAGCCAAGGCTACGTGTGCTAGGAGGTCTGGCGTGGATGCGTGAGGGTGGGGTTCCAACATGACGGACGCAACAGGACAGTCTGATGACAAGGAAGCCAGAAACGTATGCACACACACAGTACGCACATGCAAAAGTGTGCAGAAAACAGCTAACGCGCACGGCCATCCCTGCCCGGCGCAAACCCAGATGACATTTCCTGCTTCGCTTCCACAGAACAGAGAATCCGGCTTCTCGTACCGTGCACATTTGCTGGACGGCAGAAATCCTGGTGTTCTATTGTTATTTTTTTAAAAAACAAACACATCCTTCTAGTCCTCAAGGGTCTTTTATTCATTTAGCTCATAGAGATCTGAAACGGAATTAACATCTCCCCATTCTTTCCTTTCTTTCTTTTTAAAAGACACAGAGAGAAAAGCTCACTACGCCACGAAGGTGAACAGATTCTATCGGGACAGAAGGTCTTCGGAGCCCGTATCAGCAGTCCACAAAACCTTCTCCTTTTTTGTTCCTGCACTGACCCTTAAGGAATCTTCTCATATTTTGGTTGAATTTAAAGTCACGCCTCTTCTTTCCAGGGTGTGCGTCCCGGTGAATGGTGAAGCCCGTGACCAGGAACAGCAAAGCCCCCAAGCGTGTTGCAGGCCTCCCAGATTTTCCTGTCTGATCACCACAGCCCGATGCCCAATAACGTGGGGAACCTCAAAAGTGAGACCACTCATTTGAATGATTTGACACATCCCGGCTACGCAGGCCACACTATAAAAGGAGGGTTTGTGCAAAGCTCATGACAAAGTCACTCAAAACTGAGGACACGCATCGAAAGGCCCCAAAGGGACCATTACAGGCTAGGAAGGTGCACAAAACGCAGTCTACCACATGCTGAAAATACAGAGGTGCCCAAAGACACCCCATCCAATACACACAGGGACTCTGAAACAATCACATGTCCAAAGATGCCACACACACTTTCAGTGCACATCTCCGGATGCAAAAGTTTCTCTCAGAGAGGGCAGAGCACATTTCAACCAAGTTTAAGAATATCAGAGGCCTGCTGGACCAGACCAGTGAGGACCCATCCAGTCCAGCATCCTGCCTCACACAGTGGCCAACCAGAGGTCCAGCAACAGGGCCTTCCCCTGATGTTGCCTCCTGGCTCTGGGATTCGGAGCTGCACTGCTTATGAATGTGGAGGTTCCCTCGGTCACCGGGGCTAGCAGTCACAGAGAAACCTCTCCTCCGTGAATCTGTCTAACCCCCTTTTAAAGCCACCTATGCGTGTGGCCAGCACCAATGGCCCCCTCTAAGCTGTGGAGCAAAAATTCTACTCTGTGAGCGACTGGCGTTAAAGTTGTGAGCCGGCGATTTGGCTACCGCATCCATGAGTCTGCTCTGGAGCCCTCCTTCCTGAGCCAAGACAAAAATGTGTGAGCCAGAGGCTAAAAAACTGTGAGCTAGCCCACACCGACTCAGCTTAGAGGGAACACTGCGGCCTCTGCTATGAAACCCTGCATTGCTTTCTAAAAGCACTTCTAGATCCAAACCCGCACGAAACGTTCTACTGTGCACACACCACGACGACACAATGGATGATGAACACACGCACTGTGGCAATCAATGTGCCGGGAGGCCGTGGTTGCCCCCAGCTTCCCGGCGAGTACGTCCTCGGCTTGCACGCGCTCGCACCCCTCCCGGCACGCCCACAGTGCGGAACGCAAATACGCTAGCAGAGATGACTACCTCGAGCTGACTCATTCATCGCATTGTAACAAGCATACACAGATGTGCTACACACACACACTCCCATGCGCAAACACCACTCCATGCAGAAATCGTAATCCCACACGCCTTAGTGGGAGCCACATGCCAGGGGGTGCTGCTAGCGCCGCGCGAACGCACAGGAAGCTGCCTTCACCGGTCCATCAAGGTCAGTATTGCCCACTCAGGCCGGCAGCAGCTCTCCAGCGTGTCTCAGGCGGAGGTCCTTCACTTCACCTCCTGCCTGGTCCTTTCAACTGGAGATGCCGGGGACTGAACCTGGGGCCTTCTGCATGCCAAGCAGGGGCTCTGCCACTGAGCCACAGCCCCTCTTGACAGCTCTCCAGGGTCTCAGGCGGAGGTCTTTCCCATCAGCTCCTGCCTGGTCCTTTTAACTGGAGATGCCGGGGACTGAACCGGGGACCTTCTGCATGCCAAGCAGATGCTCTACCGCTGAGCCATGGCCCCTCTTTACAGCTCTCCAGGGTCTCAGGCGGAGGTCTTTCCCATCACCTCCTGCCTGGTCCTTTCAACTGGAGATGCCGGGGGATTGAACCTGGGACCTTCTGCATGTCAAGCAGAGGCTCTTCCACTGAGCCACGGCCCCTCCTCAAAGAAGACACACCTGAAGCGGCGGAAACAGACCATCGGTCCATCAGGGTCAGTCCTGTCTACTCAGACGGGCAGTGCCTGTTCCCCACTCCCGGATCCGCTTAACTGGAGATACCTGGGACCTTCCGCATGGCAAGCAGGGGCTCTCCCACGGAGCCCCGGCCCCTCCCCTTCGACCTGTCTGCACACTCCCACGCTGCCAGAGATGTTCTCCATTCGCCACACCGTCACCCGGATCCGCCACTCACACCCAAAGAGAGCAAAGCGTTCGCGCCGAGAGACCCACAGGCACACTGGCACACGACCCGCTCCTTGGGAGCACACCAACATGTGAAGAAAGACACACAAGCGCCACAGGGATGTTGCGATGCCCGCAGGCTCCGAGGCAGGCCGCGAGTGGGTGCGGGTGTGGTGGTGGAGGGCGGGTGTGGCGGTGGGGGGCGGGGCCAGGAATGCTTTTTTGGGCGGCGTCCCCTCTCCTGGCCGGGGCGCCCGCGCCCCCCCTTCCTACCTTCATGGGGGAGATGTGCGAGTGGGACACGTAGCCGTGGACACTCTCGATCTGGGACAGGTTCTTCTCCGCCACGTGGACCAGCTCGGGGGCCTTTACCTGGTTGGGGAGGTGGGCGGGGCTGTGCTCCAGCGGGGGGCTGTCTTCATCTTGGTAACGATATTTCTGAAAGGGAAGAGGCAGAGCGTCAGCGCCACGGCACCCCTCACGGCTGACGCCACGGAAGCAGCGCCCGTCTCGGGAGGCCCCGCGGGGGCCCCCCGCTGCAGCCCGGCGTGATCCGCACCCAAACCTCGCCTTCTGCACTTTCGTCAGCCAAGACCAGTTCGCTTTGTCCTGGCCTGGGCCTCCCTCCCAGAAGCCTTTGCAAAGGAAGCAAGAGGCCTTGTGCTCTGGCTTCTCAACTAGCTCTTCCTGACTTGGCTCTGTGGCTGGACAGGCAGAAAAACTTGGCAGGCAGTCATGGCGGGCCTGTGCTTGAATTTCCCCCTGCTGTGGATGTGGGGAGGGGTGGAGAAGGGAAGGGGGGCCCCAGTGCCAGCCTGCCTCGTCTCACACAGCCAGGGCTGGAAAACACCCTGCCCCAAAACCGGGCCAATCAGAGTGCTTCGTTTGCTCTGGAACCCTGGGCCCTGTTTGGATCCGAGAACTCTGCTGCTTTGCTCTGGAAGAGCCGCTCACCTCCACAGCTGGCCCCTGTAGGTAGAAGCCACACCCGCCCCCCCCATGGCAGTGGGCATCACTGCAGCATGATGGAGACCCACCAGGGTAAGAAAGAAGTCTCATAAAGGGCCAATACGGTGCAGTGGTTAAGTGCGCGGATTCTAATCTGGGAGAACCGGGTTTGATTCCCCACTCCTCCACTTGCAGCTGCCGGTGTGACCTTGGGTCAGCCACAAGTTCTCTCAGAGCTGTTCTCTCAAGGACAGTTCTGTCAAGAGCTCTCTCAGCCCTGCCTCCCTCCCAGGGTGTCTGTTGTGGGGAGGGGAAGGGAAAGGCGTTTGTAAGCCGCTCTGAGACACCTTTGGGTTGTGAAGGGTGGGGTATAAATCCAATCTCTTCTTCTTCTTCTTCTTCTTGATTCCCCACTCCTCCACATGCAGCTGCTGGATGACCTTCCGCCCTATTGGGGCCTTCTTCAGAGGTCAAACAGTATTGAGGTACACGTAACAATATTATTGATTTTTTAATTTCTGATACTATATTGGCTTTTATTTACTGCATTAGCTTTTTAAATATATTTTATTTTTTAGGTGTTCTAATTCAGCAACTGTGCATGTGGCACCAGACACATGACTTTCATCTTTAGAGGCCTCACAAACACCTTTGTCTTCTTATGTCTATAGATTCTTGCTGTTTAAGTAAGTAACAAAGCCACTTTTACTGCATTGTAAGTTAAAAAAATATTTGATTATTGATATTCAACTTTAGTTGCTGTAGATTTTCCGGTATGTGTGACCACGGCCACACATCCCGGAAAATCTACAGCAACTAATGAACTCCGGCCGTGAAAGCTTTTTCCTTTTTTCTACAGCCTTCCTTTTCTTGGTCCAGTATTCACTTATTGGTTATCTTATTGTAATATGTATTATTGTTACATGTACCTCAATAATGTTTGACCTCCGAAGAAGGCCACCAACAGGGCGAAAACGCGTCAGGTTGTGTGTAATTAGCCCTTGCGTTCAGGCCACTTGAACTTTTAACGAGGCTCTCATTGGGCCCTTATATGTTTTTAACTGCCTTTCTAATAAATACATGCATTTTTGTATATTATAAGTTTCAACCAGGTTTTTAATATCGGCCCCTTTATCAGACTTCTTTCTTATCCTCGTGGTTCTTGATTCCAGTTTTTGGGTCAGGTTGGTTTTCCCCTCCCTGTGCCTTACTGTATGATGGAGACCCCCCCACCTTGGACCACGGCACCCCTGACCCCATGTGGGCCGGGGCAGGGCCGGTTACAGTGGGGCCCCCTCCCTCCTCTGCCCACCACCAGGCCCTCCTTCTCTCCCTCCCTCCTGCTTGCGTGTCCTTCCCTGGCCTGCTCACAGGCATTCTCATGGGCGGCCCCTGCTCACAGCAGCCTGTAGTCTTTCCCTGGGGGGCACGGGGCAGTGCGCAATGCTCCCTCTAAGCTGTGGGCTCTTGTGAGCCAAAATTCTACTTTGTGAGCTGCTGGCAGTAAAGTTGTGAGCGAGCCATTCGGCTACTGCATAGATCAGTCTGCTCTGGAGCCCTCCTTCCTCAGCTAAGACAAAAATGTGTGAACCGGAGGCGAAAAAACTGTGAGCTAGCTCACACTAACTCAGCTTAGAGGGAACACTGCAATGCTCCCTCTAAGCTGTGGAGTCTTGTGAGCAAAAATTCTACTTTGTGAGCTGCTAATGGCATTAAAGTTGTGAGCGAGCGATTGGACTACTGCATAAATTAGTTTGCTCTGGAGCCCTCCTTCCTGCGTGGAGACAAAAATGTGTGAGCCAGAGGCTAAAAAACTATGAGCTAGCTCACACTAACTCAGCTTAGAGGGAACGCTGCAATGCTCCCTCTAAGCTCTGGAGTCTTGTGAGCCAAAATTCTACTTTGTGGGCTCCTGGCAGTAAAGTTGTGAGCGAGCGATTGGACTACTGCATAAATTAGTTTTCTCTGGAGCCCTCCTTCCTCAGCTAAGACAAAAATGTGTGAACCGGAGGATAAAAAACTGTGAGCTGGCTCACACTAACTCAGCTTAGAGGGAATGCTGCAATGCTCCCTCTAAGCTGTGGACTCTTGTGAGCAAAAATTCTACTTTGTAAGCTCCTGGCATTAAAGTTGTGAGCAAGCGATTTGGCTACTGCATAAATCAGTTTGCTCTGGAGCCCTCCTTCCTGCGCGGAGACAAAAATGTGTGAGCCAGAGGCTAAAAAACTGTGAGCTAGCTCACACTAACTCAGCTTAGC